GCAGAAGGACAGAAAGGGAAAATCCTGGTGACGTGTCAGGTCATGTTGAAAGCCTTCACACCGGTTAGTTCTTCCTATCCTCTATGTAATAAAGGTATTATTTTTCTCAGTTTGACAGATGAGGAAGTGGATTCTCTGGGAGGTGATGTAATATGTTCAAGGTCACATAGCTAGTAAATGGCATGGCTAGAATCAGAATCTATATTTATCTCTCGAGCCTGAGCCCTTAACCACTATGCTTTCTCTTACATGCTGTCTATTGTGTGATCTTGCTTTTTGGTTGTGTAGGAGTCACAGAGGCGGAGATAAGTGGAAAAGGCAAAGATGAAAGGGTATAAGAAGATAACACGTAAGCAAAAGCACTGAGGTATATCCAAGGAAAAGGAAGCAGACCTGCTTGATCAGGGCTAAAGATTCATTCGTTTTGGGAAGGAGCCTGTTGTTCACATAACTTTTATGACTATACAGACCATATAAATGTCTGTTTCTGCCATTATAATGGGAGATATTAAAGACAGGGATTGTATCTTAGCTATTGCTGTAACCGAGAGCCCAGCACAGTGTTTAGATTGTAGTTCCAGCACACAGGTTGGAAAAATAGGGAGTACTCACATTGCATAGATCTCTGGATGGGGCAATTAAGGTAGTCCACAGTGCAAATATCCTAAGCAAAATAATAGGTACTCAGGGCTGGCAGGTGGCCCAGTGGTTTAGTTTTCTTGCTCTGCTTGAGTGGCCTGGGATTCACCAGCCCGGATCCCGGGTGTGGACCTACACACCGCTTATCAAGCCATGCTGTGGCAGGCGTCCCACATATAAAGTAGAGGAAGATGGGCACGGATGTTAACTCAGGGCCAATCTTCCTTAGCAAAAAGAGGAGGATTGGCAGCGGATGTTAGCTCAGGGTTAATCTTCCTCAAAAAATAAAGAAACAATAGGTACTCAAATCCAACAGTGTATTTAAAAGATAATATCATGATGCCTAGGAGTTATCCCAGGAGTACAAGGATGGCCCGATAACAGAAAATGTATCAATATAATTCATCACATTAATGGAGCAAAGGGTAAAAATCACGATTTTTTTTTTTACACTTAATAGAGAAACTTGATACAATAGCATTAAGATCAGGACTAAGTTGTGGATGCTCATTATTACCACTGGACTAGTGTTCCTAGAGTACTGGAGAGTCTGTCCAATTCTAGACAAGAAAAAGGTGGAAGAGGTATGTACTCTTTCTGCTTGGCACGCTTGCCAATGATTTCACAGTCTGTATGAAAAACACAACATAATCAGCAGGCAAACCATCAGAACTATAAAAGACTTATTAATCAAGTTTGTAGGAATAGAAGCCATCTTACAAAAATCAGTAGTGTTCTTCTATAATCACCTTAAAAATGTAGTAAAAAATATAACACCATCTACAATAGCAACTGAAATATAATCTATAGCAAGAATCAGCAAACTTTTTCTGTAAAGGGCCTGACAGTAAATAGTTTCAGCTTTGCAGGCCACGTAGCCTCTGTTGAAGCCACTGAACTTCGTCACTGTAGTACAAAAGCAGCCATAGACAATATTTCGATGAATGAATGTGGCTGTTCCAGTAGAACAGACAGCAGGCTGATGTGCATGGGTGTAATTTGCGGACTCCTGGCCTATAGAATTTGGCCTAAAAGCAATGCCTAAGAAGTTTATCAAGAAAAAATTTAAACTCTTTTCAGGGACATAAGAAAACCTGAATAAAGGTCATAATTGGGATAACCCCAGTAGTGTAAAGATTGTATTCACTTTTTTAACAAATATTCAGAGTGACTACCATAGGCCAGGTATTGTTTTGGGTGCTGGGGATACGACAGAGAACAAAACAAAGCAGCTGTCCTCATGAATCTTACATTCTGGTAGAGAGGCAGTGAATAAATAACCTAAAGTCAGATAGTAATAAATCCACAAAAAAGATTAAATAAGGTAAAGAGAATGATGGATAGTGAGTGTGTTACTTCATTTGGGATGGTCAGGGAAGGCCTCTCTGACATTTTAGCAGAGACCTCCAAGAGTGAAGGAAGGCTGCCACACTGAATTCTGGGGAGGGAGTGTTCCATGCAAAGATATCAGGTCTCCCCCAAATTAATCTATACCTATTCAATGAAATTCCAATAAAAATTCCATTAGTAATGTTGAGAAACTAAAACTTACTCCAAAGTGAATATGAAAGACTAAAGGTCTATGAAAGCTAAGTCTGTTTTGAGGGGGAAATAAAAGTGGGGATACCTGCCCTGCTGGTAGAACTGGCTCTACCACAAGACACAGTAATAAAGATACTGTGTTGCTGCCACTGAAACAAGGAAAAAAACCAGTGAGATAGAATGGAGAGCTCAGAGATAAAGGATGTACATGGGAACCTTGTGATAAAGGTGGCATCACAAAGCACTGGAAAGATCGTTTTTCAGATGGTGATAGAAAAACAAATTCACCATATGGAGAAAAAAGCTGAATTTTTACTGGAGACTGTTAAAGGTGGACTCCAGATGGATTAAAGACCTAAATGTGAAAGTTAAAACTATAAGACCAATATTAGAAAATTTAGGAAAATCTATGTCACCTAGGGGTAAAGAGTTCCTAATCAAGACTCCAAATCATAAGGTCAAAATTTAAGACACCTGCTTAATTAATGACATCACAGACAAAGTTAAGAGGAAGGTGACATACCAGGAGAAGGTATTTGAAATTTTTAAAACAAACAATGAATCATGTCTAGAATATACACATAATTCTTAAAAACTAATACAACAGGAAATCAAGTAGAAAAAATAGGCAAAGGATATAAGTGGATACTGGGAGAAGGTATTTGCAGTGTTTAAAACAAACAAAGGATTAATGTCTAGAATATATGAAGAATTCCTACAAATCAACAAGACAAGAAATCAAATAGAAAAATAGGTGAAGGATATAGAGGCCTTAGTTTCATATATTAAGACATCTATACAACTTCTTATACAAAAAAGCACATTAGAAAAAGGCTCAAGGGGCCAGCCCCGCGGCCAAGTGGTTATGTTCTCGCACTCCGCTGCAGGCGGCCCAGTGTTTCGTTGGTTGGAATCCTGGGCGCGGACATGGCACTACTCACCAAACCACGCTGAGGCAGCGTCCCACATACCACAACTAGAAGGACCCACAACGAAGAATATACAACTATGTACTGGTGGGCTTTGGGGAGAAAAAGGAAACAAATAAAATCTTTAAAAAAAAAAAAAAACAAAAGAAATGAGGGGGTCGGCCGGGTGGTGTAGTGGTTAAGTTCACATGCTCTGCTTCCTTGGCCCATGGTTCACGGGTTCAGATCCTGGGCACGGACCTACATGCAGCTCACCAAGCCACAGGGTGGTGGCATCCCATGTACAAAATAGAGGAAGACTGGCACAGATGTTAGCTCAGGGACAATCTTCCTCAAGAGAAAAGAGGAAAATTGGCAACAGATGTTAGCTGAAGGCCAATCTTCCTCACCAAACCCCCCCCCTCACAAAACTCTACAACTATTAAAATGATCAATGTTTATCCCACTAACAACTGCTATTTTTAAAAAATCCATTAAAAGTCAAACAATAAATGGGAAAAATTATATAAAAGCGGATCAATGAAGAAATTCACATAAAAATGTCAATATATAAAAAACTTAAACCACACTGACGAATATATTTTTTTTGAGATTGGCACCTGAGCTAACAACTGTTGCCAATCTTTTTTTTCCTGCTTTTTCTCCCCAAATCCCCCCAGCACATAGTTGTAGATCCTTCTAGTTGTGGCATGTGGGACATTGCCTCAGCATGGCTTGATAAGTGGTGCCATGTCTGCGCCCAGGATCTGAACCAGGATCCCCTGGGCCGCCGAAGGAGAGCACACAAACTTACCCACTCAGCCAGGGGCCGGCCCCCGCAATGAATATTTTGTAAATGAAAATTAAAACGTCACCATTTATCATCAAATGGGAAAAAAAATGTTTTCATCATACCTAGTTTTGGCAACAATGTTGGAAATCTCATGTACAGCTGGTGGGAGTGAAAACTGGGACATTTCTGGAAGGCATTTGGCAATGCATGGCGGAAGTCTTAAAACAGTGCACACTCTTTGACTCAGCAGTTCCCTAGAATTTATCCTAAAGAATAATCATAGATGTCAACAAAGATTTAATTAAAAGCACTAGCATTACAGATCGTCTATAAAAGCAAAAAGTTGGGATCAAATTAAAAATCTCAAAGCAGGGGTATCAATTAAGTTATGGAAAATCCATATGATGGGATACAAATAGCAATTATAATTACCAATATTTAAATAACAGGTCTGCTGATTAGTAGCTGAAAAGCCTAGAGAAAGCTAATTAATCTCTCTGGACCTCAGTTTCCCTATTTATGAAAGGGGTCTGTTGTGAAGATTAAATTAATTGACATGCCTAAAGCACTTAGGATAGCCCTGACACATAATAAGAACTCAATAAATGGGTTTTTTCGTTTGTTTTCGTTTTTTTACTGAAGGACACTGTAGGCTAATGTCTTGGAAAGATGTTAATGATAACAAAAAAGGAGTTTACAAACCAGTATATACAGAATATTTTTATAAAATAAATATAGCTCATTAATATATAAATTTACAAAACTAACAACTAGAAGGATATATACCAAAATAGAAATAGTAGGGGCTGGCCCTGTGGCCCAGTGGTTAAGTTCAAGCGCTCCACTTCCATGGCCCAGGGTTTCGCCGGTTCAGATCCTGGTTGCTGACCTAGCACCACTCATCAAGCCATGCTGAGACGGCGTCCCCCATGCCACAACTAGAAGGACTCACAACTAAAACATACAACTATGTACTAGGGGGCTTTGGGGAGAAGGAAAAAAATAAAAATAAAAAAATAAATAAAATCTTAAAAGAAGAATAGCACACAGATACAAGAGAAAAAGGTTATGAACAAAGTTTAAAAAAAACAAAACAAAAACAAAATAGAAATAGTACATCTCTTTGAATAATAGGATTACAGAGTTTTTTTATTTTTGTATTTAAAAATTTTTCAATAACAAATGTGCTACTTTTATGTAAGATAAAAACTATCATCTTTATCAAAATTAAAACTAAAAACTCATTTTTTTGCTCCAACTGGTAGTGAATTCACCCCAAATTAGCAGGTAATACAGAATTAGTTACAGACATTTCTCTTCATAGCCTTTATTACCACACAATACAAGCTCCCAGTCTCTATTTCACAAACCTTATACGCAAACGGCTAAACAATTAAGAGATTTTTCTTTCTAAAAACCAATTTATTCCAGTTTCCCCTCTTTATGCACAGGGATCAGACACATTCTCCATGTTATCCCGAGCCTTTAATTTAGAAAGGCTGTCACAAAAGTGAACCTGCCACATGAGTAAAACAGCGCAAGGAACCAACCAAATTCTCACTGTCCTCCTTCCTGAGGGAAGAATGCCTGGCTGGCAGTGGTGAAATGGGGCATTTATAACATCTTACTTTTTGTAACAAGTGAGGACAGGCCCCAATGGTGGACAGACTGTCTTAGTCACATAAGCCTTTTGGGGTCTATTTTCTCTAGGTGAACCAGAGGTTTCAGCTGCTCGGCAAAGTTCCTCATGTCATCAGAGACCATGTCCTGCCCAGCTGGTGCAACAACACTTAGTTCCACAAGATAGGAGAGTGACAAGGCTTCAGTGCTCTCTGTGTTCCCTGGCACCAGGATGCGGAAGATCTTGTACACCATAATCTTCATGATGCCCTTCCGGAACAAGTGTCCCTTGGCGACAAACTCATGGTCCATGCGGAAGCCCATTTCCATCAGGAAGTCTGTGAGGTTCTCAGATGTTGCAATGTCCACACAGTTTCGCACCAGGGCATGACGATTCTTGTCTCCCATTTCCGGCTGTCCCAGGTAGCGCAAATGCCAGGGTGCCCCTGCCCTATCCATAGAGCGCCGGGCCCTCAGAACAAATGGACTGGCCTGCTGGCCCTTAAGGAGGAACACCATCTCATGGTCAAGGAAGGTCTCAGGTTCCATGTTGTCACACAAACCACGAAGGCGGTGGATAAGGCTTTCCAAGCTGTGATCTAAAACACTTCCTGAAGAACGAAAAAGCACTATTGAGTCTCATCTTTCACTTTGGGTAATGGAATTAGTAAAAGATAGAAAAAACTTAAATGAAAAACCAAAACATTTTAGTGCAGTGTTTTATAAAGCCTAATGTGTGAGATTTTAGAGGGGTCATCCTGCCAGGGTACTGAATAACATTATGAGAAAATTAATCCCTTTTCAATGTTTTGCATTGCCTTATTTGGTACTACGAAGTCTTTAGGCCTTCTCTAACAATGCCAATCTCCAGCAGGCTTTGGGCTCAGAGCCTTTAACAGGCCACAGTATCTATCTAGAATAATAATACTGTTTTATTGTCATTTATTTTAAAAATTATCTCCTAGGGCCAGCCCTGGTGGCCTAGTGGTTAAGTTCAGCATGCTCCGCTTTGGTGGCTCGGGTTTGGTTTCCAGGCGCAGACCTACACCACTCGTCAGTGGCCATGCTGTGGCAGTGGCTCAAATGTGAAAAAAAAAAGAGGAAGATTTGCAACAGATGTTAGTTTAGGGTGAATCTTCCTCAACAAAAAAGAGGAAGATTGGCAACAGATGTTAGCTCAGGGCGAATCTTCCTCAGGAAAAAAAAAATTATCTTCTATTTCCAGCAAACAAAAGTTTTCCATTTATAAAGGAAATATAACATTTCATTGTTTTGTTTTTTTTTTGAGGAAGATTAGCCCTGAGCTAACATCTACTGCCAATCCTCCTCTTTTTGCTGAGGAAGATTAGCCCTGAGCTAACATCTGTGCCCATCTTACTCTACTTTATATGTGGGACGCCTGCCACAGCATGGCTTGATAAGTGGTGCATAGGTCCATGCCTGGGATACAAACCAGCAAACCCCAGGCTGCCACAGCAGAGTGCGCAAACTTCACCACTGGACCTCCAGGCCAGCCCCATAACATTTCATTTTTATGTAATATATTTAAGTAAAAGAGAATGAACTGCTTCATAGAAATATACTAATATTTCATAGAAATATACTAATCTTTGTTCTCACCTTATTCAACCTCCCGGCAGCATTTGACATTATTATAGATTATGCCCACTTTGAAATCTATTCTTCCTTTGGCCTCTCGGACACAACTCTCAGTTCTTCACCTAACTTGCTGACCAGTCCTTTTATGTCTTCTTTGCTGGTTCTTGCTCATCTTCTCTAAATAGTGGAACACCCTAGGACTCAGTCCTGGTCCTCTTCTCTATCAACCATCTCTTCCTCTCTAGGTGACCTAATTCAGTCCTATGGCTTTAATATCATTTATGCCCTGAGGACTCCCACATTTATATCTCATGAACCACAGATGCATACATCCAACTGTCTACTCAACTTCTCCACTTGGATGCCTAACAGACATCTTCATCTTAACGTGTTCGGTTTCAAACTGTTGATTTTTCCGCCACAATCTTATTCCTCCTGCAGTCTTCCCCATCACAGTAAACGACAACTCTCTGCTTCCAGTTTCCCACACCAAAAACTATGGAATCATCCTCGACTCCCTTCTTTCTCTCACATCCTACATACAATCCATATTTTTAAAATATATGCAGAATCCAACCACTTCTCACTCCCTCAATCGCTTCCAACTAGTCCAAGTCCCCTTCATTTCAATACCCTGCTTCTACCCTTGCCTTCCTCTCTTCTCCACGCAACAGCCAAGTGGTCTTTTCAGAATATAAGGCAGATAATGACACTCCTCTGCTTGGAATCCTCCAATGGCTTCCCATGTCATTCAGGCCCCAAACTGTCTACAAGGCTCCAAATATTGTGATCTCTGCTACCCATCCAACATCATTTCCTTCCACTATCCCTCTAGATCACTCTCTTCAGCCACAGTGATCTTCTTGCTATTTCCAGAAAATGTCAATTATCTGACAAGTTATTTCTCTTCAGAGCCCCTTCCCTCAGTCCCCTCTCTCAGATATCTACATGTCTCACCCTATCGCCTTCTTCAGATCTTTGCTCAAGTGTCACTTTATCAGAGAGGTCTTGTCTGATCACCCTAAATAAAATAGCGTATCTCCGTCCAATCTCTTTCCACTTTCCTGCTTTATTATTCTTTAGCATTATCACCTTGATTTTTTAGTCATCTTTCAATATATCAATTATGTATTGATTTTTTTTGGTCATCTTTTTTCCTCCACTGCTAGGAACATATTCAAATATTTATTGAATAAATCTGTTAAAGTAAATAAGAGTATATCATTGTCACTATGGCAAAAATTGATAGTGGGACTTAAATGACTAAATTTTTGGTAAGGGGTAGCACTGTAGGAAAAGCAACAGATCAGGTCCCAGTAATCACAAGATAGAAGATCAGGGGAGCGAGGAACAGCTCACTATTGTATCCTGCATTCAGGGCAGTGGCAGACATGTGTTTATTCATTCCTCAAACACTTGAGGAGCTTTGTAAGTGTTGGTTCATTCAACATATATTTACTGCGTGCTGTGCCAGGCACTCTGCTACAAAGCAGGGGGCCCTGCTCTCATGGAGATTACAGTTTAGTAGAGGAAACAAAAATAAATAAGTAAAGAGACAGAAATACAAGACAATAAAAGGGAGATGGGACAGAAAGCAATTGGTGGGGGTGGAGAAGAGGAGGCCTCTTGGAGGGGTTGTAGGAGTCACAGAAGGTCTCTTGAGAGGGATGACAACTAAGCTGAGACCTGAAGGAGGAAAACCAGAGAGTTATGTGAAAAGCTGGAAAAAAGTGCTGAGGCAGAGAGATCAGCAAGTGCAAAAGCACGGAGGCAGGAAAAGGGCCTGGGGAATTCAAGGAAATGAAAGGCTATCAGTGTGGCTGAAGGGTAGTGAGCACAATGGAAGATGGGAACGCAAGGAGGATTTGACATGGGCCAAAGCATGCAGGCCTTGTATAGTCTGTGGTAAAGGTTATATTTTATTCTAAGGTCATCGGGCAGCTATTAGCTCCACACTTTATTCTCCAAGCAACGGGGAAAGACAGGACTGGATTTACATTTTTAAAAAGATCATTCCAGAAAAACTGGTATGGACTCTTCAATAAGACATGGTCATGGGGAGAGGAAAAAAAGCAGAGGCGAGGGGAGACTGGTCCAATTTAAAACAGACTTCAGGAAAAAAAAAAAGAGACTTAAGAGATACAATTATCAAATGTAACATATGAAACTTGATTGGATCCTAGTTACAAAACATTTTTGCAACAACTGGGAGGAAACTTTTGAATATGGACTAGATATTAGATGATATTAAAAATGTAAGGGCCGGCCCCATGGCCAACTGGTTAAGTTCGCACGCTCCGCTTCAGGGCCCAGGGTTTCACCGGTTCGGATCCTGGGCGCGGACATGGCACTGCTCATCAGGCCATGCTGAGGCAGCGTCCCACATGCCACAACTAGAAGGACCCACAACTAGAATACACAACTATGTACTGGGGGACTTTGGGGAGAAGAAGAAAAAAAAAAAGTGTTATTGGGGCCGGTCTGGTGGTATAGTGGTTAAGTTCGTGTGCTCTGTTTCGTCGGCCGGGGGTTTGCAAGTTCAGATCATAGGCACAGACCTTGCACCGCTCTTCAAGCTGTGGCGGCATCCCACATGAAACAGACGAAGATCGGCACAGATGTTAGCTCAGCGACAATCTTCCTCAAGCAAAAAGAGAAAGACTGGCAATAGATGTTAGCTCAAGGCCAATCTTCCTCACAGACACACACACACCCAAAGTATTATTCATTTTTTTAGATAATAATGAAGCATTGGGGTTATGAAGGAAAATATCCTTTTTTTAAGAGATGTATCCTGAAGTGTTTAGGGATAAAATGTTCTGAGGTCTGAAATTTTCTTCAAAACAACAAAAGAAAAAAGATGAAGCAGATATGGCAAAATGATAGAAATTGGTAAGTCTAGATGATGGATATGGAGTGTTCACTATATTAGTCTCTATTTTAAGTTTAAATTGTTTAATAATAAAACAATTTTTTAAAAAGATGACTAGCTGTTGTGTGAGAAGAGACAGATGATCAAAAATGGAAGCAATGTCATGAGTAACAGATTAGTAAAGTAATTCAGGCAAGGGATGATAAACCAAGGTGTGGTACTGCAGGTGAAGAAAAGACGTTGAAAATATATTTTGGGAGTAAAATGAATGGTACTTAGAGAGGGACTGGATCTGGGAGTAAAGTAAAAAATGGAGTCTGACTCCTGAATGCTTGGCTCAAGCAACTGGTGAATGACAGTGGCACTTTCATTTCATTTCATTTCATTCTGAGATGGGAAAGACGAGGACAGGCAGCTTGAGGAGTGAAAATTAATAACCCTATTTTGTTCATACTGAGTTCCTGAATGAATAATCTGAATTAAAGTCTAAACTCTTCCACTAAACATTATATGACCTTTTGAAAATCATTGTCCTCTCTGGGTTTCGAGTTTTTTCATCTAGGCAAGTTACTTTACCTCTTCCTGATCTATACGTTGGAGCTAATAATAATATCACAGAATTACCACATGATCCAGTAACTCACTTTTGGGTATATGTCCAAAAGAGTCCAAGGCAGGATCTTGAAGAGATATTTGCACACCCATGTTCACTGTAGCACTATTCCCAATAACCAAGAGGTAGAATCAACCCACTGCCCACTGACAGATGAATAGATAACGAAAATGTGGTATGCACATACAACGGAATGTTATTCAGCCTTTCAAAAGGGGAGCCTGCTACATGCTACAATATGGATGAACCTTGAGGACATTATGCTAAGTGATATAAGCCAGTCATAAAAAGACAAATACTGTACAATTCCACTCACATAAGGTATCTAAAATAGTCAAAATCAGAAACAGAAAGTGGCAAAGTGGTTGCCAAGGGCTGGGGGGAGGGGTTGGGGGTATTCGTGTTTAATGGTTAAGTTGTTGTCTGTTGGGTGCTAGAAGCTATGCAGGCTGCCTTTGTATAACTGCCTCTCATCTCCACAGAAGCTGAATAGAAAAGACGAAAAACAGGTAATCCAAGCCCCTTGGTTCACTTACCCTGAAGCAGGTACTCCATCATGTTAATGGTGCCCCCGGTGACAGGCATCATGGTGACTGGAGGTGCCTCCATGGTGTCTGATTAAGTTGAAGACAGTACAACTGGATTCAGAGTCCTCAGTCAAGTAAAGCAGAGGATCTACCGGAAGAAGAGTTACACTTGTTAATACATCAAAGTGAAGAGACATCAGATGTGCTTGTGTCATTGGCCTTAACATCAAAAGATTTACTCATCCATTCAAAACTTTCTGTGTAACTGCTATATGGCCAGTTTCAGGAACTGATCATACCGAAATATACAAAGGAGAACTGGTCATCGAGTTACAGCATAACCTGCTAATCTCAAGGTCTGAAACTTCTAAAAGTTCTCTTGAAAAAAGTGCAATCTTGAGAAAGTCATCAAATCTCTCACTGTCTTCCATATAAGATGGGGTCAACGATATTAACTCCCACGGCTTTGTGGCTCAGGTGACACAATCGACATGCAATAACATTCAGAAGAACTGAAAGGTGACTTAAGGGACTTTGTCTACCCTTCAAATTTATCGATGAGGATATCGAGACTCGGAGAGGGGCCCAAGGACACACAGCAAGTCGGTGGCAGAGCTTGGACCAGACTAAAAGCTAGGCGTTCCGCCTCTCTGAAAATGCCTTTTAAAGCGAGCTAGACGGAAGCGCCAAATTCTTTTAAGATGTTTTAGGTCTTCCTAAGCCAGGATCGAGGACACGTGCCCACCACTTACATGAGAAACACACCTCCGCGCGCGCTCTAGTCTCTTCTCGCAAAATGGAGAATTATATCCACCCAAGCACCTCGGAGCTTTTGAGCTTCAATAAGCTCCCAGTCCTAAAATTAACGCCCCCTGGGAAACACAAGCACACCGCCTTCTCCTCTTCCCACTTCCGGCAAGAAGCCGACGTCGCGCAAACTTCTACACCGCCGCCCCGCAACGTAAGGGTGCCGAGAGGGCATGAAATCGCCCTCTTTGGCGCTGGCAACCAGAAGCGCGTGCGCAAGAGGCGTTGCCGCAGTGTGCAGGAGGGCGGCTTCGTTTGCAGCGTCTTTCTGGGAGCAACGGGGCCGACAGACGCTTGACGTCATGGGCCGTACTCCAGGAGAACATTTTATTTTTTTTCAAGTTCGACGACCTGGAGATGTTTTTTTTTAGGAAATCTCTTGGGCTGGCAGGGGAAAAGAGAGCCTGGGAATGGGAACTGCAGAAAAAAAAGAGGAGAGACTGTTAGAAAAGACTTCTTTTTTTGGGTCCCTGAGGGTTAAAAGGAAAGACCCTTTAGTGCTTAGCATAATATTCTGAACAGTTACGGAACTCAGTAATACACTTAATATTTGTCCACTTTACTGAGTATATTTTACTCCAATTAAAAAATATAGGGAGACAAGTGAATACAACAAATATTTGTTAAACTCTCTTCTTGTGTCAGGCATATAAGGTGCAGACTAAGTGGGAACAAGAGTGAGGTGAATGAGGCACTCTCCTGGAGCGAAAAATATGGCGACATAAAAAAATCTCAGTGACTGAGATGAGTAATATTTTAATGCAATATTTTACAAATTTAGTGCAAAAAATCCTTCATCAACAAAATATTAAATTTTAAAATTTGATTCCCACAGCAGCCCTATGAGCCACGTACACTTGTTACTGTAGTTTTACAGATGGGGAAATTTAGGCAATGAGATGTTAAATAATATTCAAGGGAGTGGAGAGGCTGGGATACCAATCTAAGCGGCTGACTTCAGCACCCACCCTCTTAATTATACTGTGTTTTCAAGTTATAGTTCCCCTGCTATAACCTACACTGCCTCCCATTCTTCTTTTTTTTTAATTGAACATTTCTTGAAAGTCTTTGTGTTCTAGACATTCTGTAAGCTGTTGACTTGATTCTGTTTGTGCCCTCAGAAGAGTTTATAGGCAAGTTGTGGGAATCAGAGAGTAAATTAAGGAGATAGTACCCTGTGATTTGATTCAATAGGATAATGAGATATAAACTGCTCAACTGCTTGGGAAGTGAGCAGGATACTTATCCATCATGGGGGCATCAGAGGAGTCCTGGAAAAAGTTATTAATGCCACAAATAACTTGAAGGATCAGCAGATGTTAGCCAGATAAAGAAGGAAGGAAAGGGAATCCCAGGTAATGAGAACAGCATGTACAAAAGGACATTGAGTTTCGTAGAATTAGGATATAGAATCTGAGGTTAGGAAGGGTAAGAAATGAGTACAGAGAAGGGATAAGACCCAGATCCTGCAGGACTTTGCGTGCCAGACCCAAGAACAGATGTGCACTTTAAAAAGAGCACTGGTGGGCCAGCCCTGTGGCTGAGAGGTTACGTTTGTGTGCTCTGCTTCAGTAGCCTGGGGTTCACTGGTTTGGATCCTGGGTGCAGACCACACACTGCTCATCAGGCCTTGCTGTAGCAGTGTCCCACATAGAAGAACTAGAATGACTTATAACTAGGATGTACAACTATGTACTGGGGCTTTGGGGAGAAAAAAAAAAAAAGAGGAAGATTGGCAACAGATGTTAGCTAAGGGTTGGTCTTCCTCACCACAAAAAAAAGCACTGGTAGGGCTGGCCTGGTGGTATAGTGATTAGGTTCGCACACTTGGCTTTGGCAGCCCGGGGTTTGCAGGTTTGGATCCCAGTGCAGACCGGGATCCCAGCTGCTCATCAAACCATGCTGTGGTGGAGTCCCATATACACAATAGAAGAAGATGGGAATAAGGAAGATGGGCACAGATGTTAGCTCAGGGCCAATCTTCCTCACAAAATAAATAAATAAATAAATACAAAGAGCACTGGTTACAATGTGGAGAAAAGCTTGGGGAAGGAGGGCCTGGAGAAAGAAGACCAGTTAGGAGCTTTGGCATGACTCCAGCTGAGAGAGAATTTTTGGAGAAAAAACAGATTTAAAAAATATTAAAGAGAATGCTTTGATGATTAGCCAGAGGTAAAGACAGAGAGAGGGAGTCACGATTGTCTAGATTTTTACCTTAGGTGACCATGGTAGTGCGTTTTTCCGAGCTAGGAAATACAAAGCAGTGTGGGGGAAGCAGGAAAGATGAGTTCATGTGTACTAAATATATTGAGCATGAGGTGTTTATGAAACACCCAAGTGACGGTGCCGAGCCAGGGTTCAGGGGAGAGAGAGCTAGGCTGGAGGTAGAAATTTCAGAGTCAGAGCCTCCTAGATGGTAGCTGAAAGCATGAGAGTAAATAAGATCACCCTGAAAGAGTGTATAGCATGGGAAGAGAAGATGGCTAAGGACTGGAGTTTGCACAGGACTCTGACAGTTATTAGAGCTGCATATACCCCGGGGCTTAGGATGTGTCTCCTGATCAGCCTGGTGATTCACAATTTTGGGCAGAGTGACAAGCTTTTAGTGCTGTAATGATTGGAGGAGGTCGTCAAATTGCTGGGCTTCTCTTTTCCTATACAGACACTAACTTTAGAATGGAAAGTCCAGTGAATTATCGGTCTTTTGAGGTACCATATTATTTACCCAAATTTTAGCTGGCATTTTGAAGTAGGATTAAATTTTTTTAAAAAAAGGAAGACAGGAAATGAGTGAACAATATGGTAAAACTTGGACAAGGCCTAGGAGTTATAGGGGTGGGTTTCTCTGATAAGGATGGGAGGCCTGGAGCTTAGAATGGGGCTCACTTCTGTCCTCTGCCACTACCCAGCTGTGCAACCTTGGGCAATTCACTTCCCCTCTCTCAGCCTCAGCTTCCTTTTTTGTAAAATAGAGATAAAAACAGTACTTTCTAAAACAGAGGTTGCAAAAATAAAATGAGCTGTTTATGAAACACTTAGCATAGTGCCTGGCTTATTGTAAGCAATCAATACACGGTAGGTATTATTATTATATTTTAAATCTCTCATTTGAGCAAGCACATTCGGTCTTACTGAATATATTTTATGCATGTCTCATCTCCTTGGATAGACTGTAAACATCTGGAAGGGAAGAATCATGTATTTTCTTTATGTATAGATGTGTCTTAGTCAGCTCGAGCTGCCAGAACAAAATACCATAAACTGGGTGGCTTATAAACCACAGAAGTTTCTTTTTCACAGTGCTGGAGGCTGGCAGTCTGGGATCAGGGTGCTGGTGTGGTTGGGTTCTGCTGAGAGCCGTCTTTTGAGCTGCAGATTGCCGATTTCTTGTATCCTCACACAGTGAAGAGCAGAGCAAAGCAAACTCTCTCAGGATTCTTATAAGAACACTGATCCATTCATGAGGGCACCTCCCTCGTGACCTCATCTAATCCTAATCACTTCCCAAAGGCCCTGCCTCCTACTGGCATCACACTGGGGAGCAGGGTTTCAGCATATGAATTTCGGGGCGGGGCAGGGGGGGACACCAACATTCGGTCCATAACAATGTGCTTTACGTGTAGTGGGTGTTCAGAAATTTTGTTGAACGCATTGCAATAGCTACCAATTATTGGACAGTTGCTACATACCAACAACTTTACACTGTATGTGTGTAAATATGCCAGATACTGCTAAAAGGTAGATATTACCATCTCCACTTTACAGAGGAAGAAAAAGAGGCTCAGAGAGGTAAAGTGACTTGCCCAAAGCCAAATGGCCAGCAAATGGCAGAAGCAGATTCGAATTCAGTTCCTTCTGACACCACACCTGTCTTTTTGCCATATTTCCTTCTGAATTCCTGGACTCTTTCTCTGCGGTGAATTTCCCAAATTATTACAATTAGTGGTAGCAAAGGAGGAGAAAAGTTCATACGTTGATGCTTCCCAGACAGTCACTAGATTGGGCTCAAAGAAGTAGGACCAGTTCTTGGCCAGTTTTCATCAGAACAGAAGACCATAAGCATGGACTGCAAATCACACGTACCCACACACAATTCCCTCTTCAGCTTTCTAGAATGACCTGGTGGGAATTAAGATGGATCTTCCCCCCGTTATATGCAACGCTAGGCTCTCAACCTTAGTGTTACGAACTAGTATTTCCCCAGGAATGAGCTGACGTTTATTGGCTGCTTCCTATATGCATAGCCCTGTGGAAAAGGTATAACCATTGCATTTCAGCTGACTTATCTCCAGCGTTGTCATCAGTTCGGGGCTTGCATCTACTCAGAGTAAAAGCCAAAGTCCTCATTATGCCTACGTGATCTGCCCTCATCACCTCTTACCTCTCTGACCATATTCCAACCATCACCATCTGTGTCTGCCCCCATCCCATCTACTCAGCTCCAGCCACACTGTTCTCATTGCCCTTACTTGAACATGTCAAGGATGCTCCTATCTTAAGTCTCTTGTAATTGTTGTACAGTCTACCCGGAACTCTCCTTTTCCGTTGCACTGCAGGCTTCACTCCCTTGCTTCCTTCTGATCTCTGCTTAAACCTTTGTTAGAGAGGTCTTCACTGACCGCTTCTTTCAAACTGCCATCCCCCAGCTGCCCTGCCCACCCCCACCCCCCACCCCCTGCTGTATTTTTCTTCCTAGCACATTTGACTAGGTGACACCCTGCCTATTTACCGATGTGTTTATCTCCTCCCTCCCCCCCAAAAAATCATAAGCTCCATGAGAGCAGGGACTTTGTTTTATTCACTACAGTACCCCCAGCCCTTGGAATGATGCCTGACAGTGCAGACACTTGCTAAATATTGTTTTCGTTGAGAGAATGATTGGTAGAGAACAGAGGTTAGCAGAAGGGTTATTAAGTGATTTTCTTGGTCTCCTATATTTAGTCATCACTGGATTCTACGGGGACCCTAAAGTCCTTAAATTCCAAGCTGAGGACACTGAAACTTTTCTCTAGGTATGTGCAGCCCAATATGGCAGCCATGAGCTACATGTTGTTATTAACCACTTGAAATGTGGGCTAGGTCAAATTGAGATATGCTATAAGTGTA